TAAATTAACTTCAGTGTCCTTAAACACCTTTAAGTCTAACTCAGCCACAATGTTGTCACAATTGGCAAGAATAACTAAGTAAAGACTTTCATCTAAACCACAATGAACAGCTTGACCTGCAGTAACACACCCACTCTGTTTAACTTTCACCCACACATAATTCACAGAGAAGGAAGTTGCTTCTTTGTTGGTTCAGAGGCTTCCAGCAGCCCACTGCAGTCATCACTGACATGTTTATTACCTAAAGGCCTCACTAACAAGTGACTGTATTCTACACAAAGTAAAACTCTCAAAATGGTGGTTAGACGGGAAACAGCAACTACTCATTTCAGTGGAAAGGGGGTATTTAAACTCTCTAGAGAATAACATAAACATTGGTAAGAAAGACCCAACAGCATACTGCCAGAAACATCATTGACAGAAGGCGTTATTTAAAAAAATATTTGAATTCCTTTAAGGCTGATTCAGTGGATGTCGGCCGGATTGCGCAAACAAGCAAAAGCAATGTTTTTCAAGTGTTTTTTGTAAAAGAAAACACATCAAAAAAGGTTGGAGAAGCTTCAATGCTTCTACGAGGTTACATACGAGCAGTCCTGTATCAGTTCAAGTTTGTACAAACCTCTGTTGTTTAAACAGTATTATCAGGAAAAGTACTATTTTCCTTTTTGTTCAATGTTACAGAAATGTGTTTCTCGTATATCCCACAATGAAGCCATTCCCTGATAAACTATTTGATGTCAATGGTGTGAGCGAGCAGCAGTGAATGTGGAGGCTTTCAGTGCGGCTGGTGAGGCTGGACTTTGTACGAGAGAGACGATAACCGACACTCTTGAGTCATTACAGCTTACACAGGGTTTATAACATGAACCATCTGCTCCAGTGATTAACACCCAAGCCCATCGGGAATGCACACATCTAAACATCCAGGCAATTCCTTACGTAACCCCGCGCCGAATAGACACACGTAAGAGTGAGCAGAACGAACAGGGACACATGCAGATGGAAACAAATGTGGTTGAGTCTTTTCTGTGGTTCAAATCTGACCGTCCAACCAATGATGAGATTAAAAAATATATATTCGTGTTAATAAAATAACCAAGGGTCAACTCTAGATATTCCCTCTTAACGTCCCGTAATAACTACACTAAAATAACTTAAGAACTGTGTTTTTCATGTTAAATGTTTCATCTTCCAGTTTCTCTCTGTATTGCTTTCTCCCTCAAGCACAAATGTACAATTACTCGTAGCTAACTTCAACAGAGAATAATCTCAATGTTTAAAATCCCTGCTGTGTCCTTGACTCCAGGCACATTCAGACATGCACACAGAGACTCTTATCAGTGTCTTGGAGATTATCTTTCCCCAGATTTCCTGGTACAACTTAAAAAACACATCCACACACAACTGCACTGTTCATACACAGACACGTACTATGGAGGAAAAACGGCTCAAAGGCAAAAATATTGCTATTTTTGTGATCTATGTTCAAAGCCATAAGCGCTTAGCTACAAACCTTAAGTGTGGGTGAGTGAGTTTAACTCAGCCCATTAAAGCTCTCCTGTGGGAGATCCATGGTTAATGCCTCAGAGTCAGAGGGGGAGAAAGCGAGCAGGGCGGACTGATCATGTTGGTCTAATCCACCGAAACCACCGTAGCAAAAAGATCTACAATAAGCTTTAGGATTATATATCAAGAATAGACAGAGTTTATTCGGAGAGATCAAGAAAAGTGTCTATTTTTGTCATTCGTTTAAGATCTGAGAACGGAAATTGTCAAGATAATAAGAAGATGTAAACAAATCATCCACACTTTTTGAATGTAGCAGAGTCATGTGTTAGGGTTGACTTTTTGTGGCAGGCCGATGTTTATGTTCAAACTGATGAAGATATAGTAACATGTTTCTTAGTTTGGCAACATGTAAGGCAGTAATATGTGATCTAATAGTAAGAAATGTAATATAAATGTAACTTAAACATGTGCCCTGGTATGTTGTTTTGTCCACAACCAGGTATGCTAAAATCTCACCAGCACGTCAAACCTTATCTGTCATCTAAAAGGTGTTCAGCCGTACGTGGACAAATCACTGAGAGCCAACACTAAAAAAACAGCACAGAGCAGTAGAGCAGATACTGGAGAGTTCTAGCTGCAGGGCAATTGAAAACCTGTGCTGTGCAATCCACCACTAACAAGCCTTTGGTGATTATCTGAACTAAATTAACATAAAAGGTGGAGCAGCAGGTTCAGCAGGAAAGCTAACAGGGCCACTTTTCCCACTCCTCTACAACCTCATAATGAACCCAGCATGTAAAGATACCACGTGGGATATTTATTTAGCAGGGACAATGCACATCAATGAACACTTAAAACAATTAAATGTGTCAAGCGTAAATATGCCAGATTTAGCTTTGAGCTAATTTCCATCCGCAGTCAATACATATATATATATATATATATGGATAAACAGTTCTTATTTTGCGTAGAGAAGCTGGTGTTTGGCCAGCAGAAGAACTTCCCCTCCCACAGCATGAAGTACAGGTTAAAGTGTAACAAGTGAACTATGTGTGTATATGTACATACTGAGCACTAACAGCCATTTATAGTTAAGGTGATAAAGCCAACAGCGGTGATAAAATGTCAGATCAACACCTTGAGTAAACTATGATGGGCAACTTGCACTGTAATGCATGTGGAAGGATCTGATCACTGCACAAGGAAGTACAGCACTTAGATGCTTTGCTCTTTGTGGTGGTCCTTAAAGATACTTAATGTTGGCTTGATTTATCACCCAGCTGGAGTACATATATCCCACAAACAACAAACCTGGGGGCCAAAACAAGGTACATATTACCTCCTTAGATATATGACCAATTCTGAATGGCCAGCTCTCTTGAGATGTAGTTAAAAACAGCTAACTGGCCTCGTGAGGATGAAATCAGCCACATTACCACTACGTTACATACTCCCAGTGCCCAGTCTCTCTTTTTTTCCCTTTAGTAGCTTCTCTAGAAGTTTCTGTAGGTTTGTGTTGCTCACCCAGGATTCAAACCAACTAGTACAAATCTCTAGGCCAGTAGCATCCCACCAGCTGAAACACACAAACGCCAGAGGCACACCTACTGGGAAATGAATGGCGGACTCTGTAGAAGTACACGTTTGCATCACCTTGTGCTGCCCCAGTTTGTTGTTTTGCATAAGTTAGCAGTTTCAAATAAATTGATACATACAAGGGATACAAATAATAAAGCAAAATCCAATTACAACTTGTGACAGAAGTCTAACTGTGACACCAAACTGCATTGTAAGTCTGAGCATTACCTAAAAACTCACTGGATATTTCTGGATACAAATCACAGGTCTGGATGGGGTGTAATTCTTGAAAGGTGTCCGATTGTCTGGCAGGGCAGCTGCTTGTATTTACTGAAGGAAGGAGGGAGAGGTGTACTAGATGAAATGTAGGCCTGATGTGGGAGTGTGCTGGCCTTAATGTCTACCAAGCTTTGATTAAGACGCCTTAAAGAGATCAAGCCAGGGGTGAAAGCTCCGACATAACTTTGTGTGACTGTGGATGAACTCACACTGCACTCACATCCCCTTACAACAAGCTAACTCAGTGTAAAAAGGTGGTAATCAAGGTATGCGGTTACGCCCTCTGTTTAAAGAATGAATCATAGTCAGAAAAAATAAAAGAATGGCAAGGCTAATGTCTGTCTACAGGTGAACATGACCTTACGATCAAAAGAACTACAAATACAAAAGCAGCATTTGCGTTACAACTTATGTGCAACATTTAAAATGCCAACTGTAATCTGAAATGTCACTAAAAGTCAAACCAAGGAGGTAACGTCAGAAGGTAGTTGAATAAACTGAAATAAGTTCAAAGGTAAGACGTCTGATAGTCTACATATTCTGTAATATCTCTGAACTCACTTTACATTTAAAAACAATAACAACAAAGGACACGACAAAGCTAAAGTTAAGCCAAACCTCATCACAGGATGTTCCAATACGAGACTAAGGGTTGGATGGGAGCAACATTTTTGCCAAGAGTTACTAAGCTACAGTTTAACACCTGCCTGCACAAACAACTGGACTCTCTGTCAGACATACAGAACAGTGCTAAAGCCTTATTACCAGGGCTAAACTTGTACTTAAACTGCTGGAGATGTGCCTGGATGTGGTCATCCCTCAGCTCAGGTGTGGCGGACATTGTTGTCTGTCTTTAGAGCAGATGCCATGGTCTGTGACATATCCATCAAAAACCAGGAAACCAGTGTGCATTGAGAAACGGCATCATGTCAGAAGTGCAGCAAAACTACACTGTCATCAGCACATACACAAAAAAAGGCTTTGTCAGGTTAAGCACAGGCGTAATCTCCATAATCACTGACCAGCAACAATGGACTGAAGATACCCTATTAATATTTTAGGAGAAGCTTGTGTTGTTAGGACAGTAGTGTGTGTTCGACTAAAGCAGGGAACTTTCTGACTGACAGATTGGCAACTAAAAGCCACTGGAAACATCTCAATTGGACAGCAGTGCATTCATTTGCTCACACTTTCCCTACAGTAAAAGTAAAATAAGAAAGAAATGCACACTTGTCAAGACCCATTACGGTAATAGATGTAAGCTAATCCTAGAGAAAACAGTTTTGTAAGCAGTGTCAACTACTCGGCTTTTATTCAACCTTCAGTAAAGTAATTACAACTAGCTGCAGCTTTACCAGCTCTGATATACATTCATGCATCAATATTTATAATCAAAACAAATATATTATTTTTGAAATGGGCTTAACAGCATAATGAGTATTTTTATGTTTGGACTTTAGATATATTTTGATGCTAATACGTGTGTACTTTAACTTGAGTAAGAGAGAGTATTCCAGGTAGTTCTATTTTTACTTCTGAGTACTTGTCGCACCTCTGCAAATAAGTACCTTTCTCTAACCTCTAATATAAGGTTTTTATCCATCTATATTTCCAACAGCTACCGCTCAGCTCACCTGTGTTTGTTGTGTTGTAGAAATTCGTTGTTGAGGGACGTTACTCATAATTTACTATGGACATTGCCTGTGTTGAGCTAATTCCAGCACGGTGTTGACAGTGAGGGTATCCTGAGCTCATCGTATTAACTTAGCTTTAACAGTGTAATCCACGGGCTGCCTGCCACTTATAGCAGACAACCTTTCCTGAGAGCACAGCAGCTGTGTGTGAGCCGTCCTCTCCCTGTCAGCCTGTGTGTTTACCTGAGGGGCTAATGCTGATAGCTGCTAAATGCTAACTAGCCGTGTCTATCACAGGAAAACTAAACACCACGCGTCTGTTTCTGACTTACCTCTGCAAACATCGTCTAAAAGGCTGTGCGTGCGGTGGCTCTGGCTAACCCCACCACATTGTAACATGCACAGAGGGAGATTATAGTCTCGGTTAAAAACGGTCGTATTTCCAATCTCCGTACTCTCTTCGGAGCGTCGCCATGTTTGCAAGGTTTACGTCTCGGGTGCCGAGTTTCTGGACGCCGCCCTGTGATTGGCTGCGAGGCGATGACGCAGTAACACACCCGTGACTGATTGACGGACACAAATGCAGCGATAATCAGGACTGACTGACCCAAATTCAAGAATATTTTAACAATTCATAACATATCTAATGCAGGTTTACCACAGTGGAAATGTTACTGTGCAGTGGACGTTAAAAAAGATTCTCTTGGAGGTATTTTTAGAGTTGGTTAGAATAAGGCTTGGTTGTGATTCCCTACACAACCTCAAGGCTGTTTTATTCTTATGAAGATTAAATACATTCAGTTTGAGATCATTCAAATGATATATTTTATAGGTTTACCACAGCAAAAAACTCCGTGTGCAGTGAACATGAAAAAGAGGTTAAGACAATTATTTTGGAGATATATTATACATGGAAGTGTACTTCTATAGTTTTAAAATTATGATGTGCGTGCCTTTATTGAATAGTGTTTTATGTTTCTTTTTATTTTGTTCTTATCCATCTATACTTTGCAGTGACGATGTACATTTCTCCTCAGTGGGTCGAATAAAGGAATTATAATCCTGATTTTGATTGTTGGTTTGAAGAAGGCTTGGCTGTGATTACCTTCACAATCCATAGGCTGTTTTATTCTCATGAAGGTTAAATAAATTCAATTTAAGATTATTCATATGATATGGCAAATCCATTTAGCTAAATTATCTTTTATAAATGTGTAAAGCCTCTTATTATTGTAATTCTCAGTAGACATATACTGCAACCTATTATTTTGTAAAGCATGTCATTTATTTCATATTGCCTGTTTTTAAAACATACTGGTAATCTAGAAATCTATGCTGATTCATCTTTCCAAAAACATCTACAGGTGGTATATGCCTGAGAATTCAAATAAAGTGTAATATTAGAAGACTGACCCAGCAACATGAAAGTGCAGTCTGATCACATGTTTGACCAATGGCTACCTGCACACCTGGGGATTATGCATAATTGATTGCCCCAGTGGTCCCTTCAATGGACTATACCTTTCACTGCCTGGCAAAAAGAGAGATGTGAGGTTAGGATGGAACAAAGAAGAAGCAAAGACAAGAAATGCCAGAGTGATCAAAGAAGATTGTTAGCTACAAGAGAATCTGTTTTGTTTTAGGTCATGATACCTCTCTCCAGGTGTATAGAGCCCCAAACGGATCACACAGCAGGAAGGGATGAAGCAGAAACCAGTCTGTGGCTCCTCCATGTCCAGGAGAGCGGAGCGCACTCACCAGGCTGCCCATTCTTCTAACACACCGGTGCACATAAAAGATATCTCTCATGTTTCTTTTATCTCTATATCCGTGTTTCTAATTATTTCTCTTTCAGACTGTCACACACTCACAGTAACCCACATGCAAGTTGTAAACGAAGACTTTATACCCACGCTTCACGAGTTACACATCTGTTAACTTATGAGCCATCATGTGACAAGCTTATTGGTGTTTTTACATCTACTTCTGTGAGGTTAAGTGATTTTCCATTTGCTGGAATCAAGATAACTGTGGCATGTTGATCAACCTGTTTGTCAGATGAGCTCATCATTGCACCATGAGCCTAGCTTTTTTTAATTATATAAGCAAATACAAAAAGGGCATGTTGATGTCATGTATTCAAACATCTGAATTGCTTCAAAAAAAGGTCTACAAAGACAGGGTTGCTGTGTTTTTAAAGACTGCACAGATATTACATCTCCTGACCTGCAGTGTTGTATCTTTCCCGCTAGAGGTCACTATCATTCTGTCACAATCTGCTGTAAAAGTGATCGGATGGTCAAAAACGAGGAATTAGTGGAACGTCTCAAAAAGATAACATTGAGCATGCCAATCATAGTTTCACAAACATCCAACAATCCCCTTGGAGGGAAAGAATAGAATCACATCAACGATCAACATGCATAATTCATTCAGTGAAGTTTATTATTAAATTAAACTTTTTTATATGGATAAAAGTCTGGCATTAAATTGCACATTTAGAAGATTAGAAGTAAAGAGCATAATGAAGACTGCTACTGTATGAAACAAAGAATGATTCTTGACACTTATTTTTGTTGCTCAAGACAGCAAAAGACAGACAAAAAAAAAATACTTATAGTGAAAACCACCCTTGAATGATGGGATGGTAGACTAAAAGCTTTAGGAATCCAAACTACAACATATAATAAGTACCCTGTATCAAGATTGATACAAAACAAGTGCAATTTGACCTTTTTAGAGAGATTTAGCACAAAAAAAAACACTTCTGGGGTCCTTTGGGTGGATTTTCCATATCTCTGGCCCCCCTTAGTCGATTTTGATGATTGACATCTCTCTCTAACCGTCAGAGCCAATGGAATCGAGGGGAACTCCCACATACTCCTTTATTTGTTAATGTGTGTGTGTGAGACTGCCGCATAGCCAAAACCGGAAGCTGCGATAACTCTGGTGGCTACCATTAGCAGCTAACTTTTACTCTCCGATTTTTACATACAAATAGAATTATGTATTATAAATATTTTTTTTAAATTCACAGAAACATTATCAACCGATTCAGCCGCGTTTTTTCTCGTTTTAATGCCATTGAACACGTCTTTTGATCAGATTGACAGCTACGGTGAGACGATCTACCCGTAAAAGCTCCGTAAAGGTACGTGTTGTGATGTCTGTGTTTGCTTCCCCTGTCGCGAGTTTGGATCACTCAGTGATGATACTAATACCTAAATAATTTAGGTATTAGTATCATCACTGAGTGATCCAAACTCGCGACAGGGGAAGCAAACACAGACATCACAACACGTACCTTTACGGAGCTTTTACGGGTAGNTTCAGGGTAAGCCAATCAGAGACAGAGTTGGGCGGGTCTTGCCTTATGGGGAACATACACAGACACACAAACACTTGCTAATGCTAACACACACACACACACGGCAACGCTCACCACCAGCACACACACACACAATGGCAGATGCAAGTATCAGCGAGAGCAGCAGCGTATTTACAACTTTGAGATATGACCACTATTTTCAATTTGTGGGGATAAATGACGCTCAAAATATTACGGTCAAATGTAAACTGTGTGCAGGACAGAAAGCTTTGTCCACATCGAATAACAGCAATGCCAATCTCCTGAAGCAACTAACTAATGTACATGGGGCTATAAAACTAGTCGCCAAAGACCCCACCGTCTCAACCACCGGCAGTGACCCAGATGGAGCAAAGCCTAAACAGCCAAAAAACGATTATTTCAAATCGCCACATGTCACCCAGAGTCAACTAAATAGATTGCCAGGTATGTTGTTGAGGACATGCTGCCCATCGCAACGGTCGAGTCTGTTGCCTTCAGAGAACTAGTCAGCAAAAAACAACAAAAAAACTTGAATTTTTAATTGTTATTATTTTTAAAGTAAAGTAACTTGTTACTAGTTACTTTTATAATTTAGTAACTAATAAAGTAACTAGTTACTTTTTTGAGAGCAATAACTATAACTATTACTAGTTACTTTTTAAAAGTAACTTGCCCAACACTGCTGCACACACATCATGCGCCTTTGTGACCGGACATTTCCTTACAACGAGTAATAGGGGGAATAATCGGTCCATTCGATGTCTGTGTGTGTGTGTAGAGGTGTGTGTGGTTGAAACGTAGCAGCCTGCAGTGGGGACCACAGTGAAGGCGGTGTGTATGCGCTGGTGCTGCACTTCTCAAAGGCTGCCTCCTGATGCTGCAGCCATTTCATAAAGTGAAGGAGGCTTTACAAATAAAAAAAATAGCTCTACACCCCTGGCCGCAATGTCCTTAAAATGAAGTCTGAGTTCGAAATATATCTCAAATAATGTATGCACTGCCATTCCCCCACAAACATAACAGTCTGCGATTAAACGGTTGTCTCCTGTGTGCTCCACTTGGCGTACCACCTGTAACTTTATCTGAGACCTTATGCTAACCAATTTTGATTTATTTTGTATGTTTTGGATGAAATATTTTTATATATTTCTAATTCTGCAAATATTACGATAAACTCACAGCTATTTCGCGGCCCGGCATTAAAACCTAAAAAGGAGGTTGGGGACCCCTGATCTTAATGACCCCTGAGCAAAAATGCTAACGCACTTTGGCACAGAACTCAAGATAAAAGATACCCTTATTACTTATCGTAGCTGCACATACAAGATTATTCGATTAAAGCTGAGGTTCCACAGATCAT